GACTATTTGCAAGAAGGGCTGTGTCATCTGCGAAACGTAGGTTGTTTAGTTTATGAGCATTTATTGAGATGCCCTTTTCCCATCCTTCAAGTGCTCTTCGCATAATATACTGTCCATATATGTTGAATAATTGTGGAGATAGTATACATCCTTGTCTGACACCCCGTTCTGGATAAAACTCGTTCGAAAATGTGTCAAGTACTTTAACTGATCCAGTAGTGTGTTCATATAGTTCAGTTATAAACGTAATTAGATGTTGTGGTACGCCTACTTCTTTTAGTATTCGCCATAAGTGTCTTCACTTGACCCTGTCGAACGCTTAACGGTAATCTATAAAACAGATGTATAGTGGGATGTTGAATTCCCTAGATTTCTCGATTATCTATCTTATATTCAGCAGGTGTTCTCGAGTGCCTCAACCTTTGGTAAATCCAGTTTGCTCTTGTGGAATTTCTCTTTGAAGGAATGTTTTCAGTCAGTTTTAAATCAGAAGGAATTTTGTCCAGTCTTCAGGCCATTGTTTAGAATGCCATATTTGGTTACAGAGTAGATGAAGTAACTTTACGCCGGTTTCTTCTGTGGCTTTAAGCATTTCTGCTATTATCATATCTGGACCTGGTGCTTTGTTATATTTGAGCTTGTTGATAGCCTGTCCTACTTCATTTTCGAGTATATCAGGTTCTTCTTCCACCTCGTCAGAGATTTGGCCAACAAGCTCTTGGCGTTGATCATCTTTATATAGGTCCCTGCAATACGATCTCCATGTCTCTGCTATGTCTTCTCTGTTTGTTCTCAGGGTTCCAGTGTTATCTTCAATGGCCCAAGTTCTGGCTCTGAAGTCTCTTGTCAGGTAGCGTATTTTTCTAAATAGATCTCTCGGCTGATTATTCTGACCATGTCTCTCAATTTCTTTGCATATACTTTGAGAGTACTGTTTTTTGTCGGCCTTACATCTTCTTTTTATTTCTTTATTGAGGTTTCTTAAATTAGCTTTTTTCCTTTCACTATGTACATCATATTTGCTTATAAATTATTATTTAAAGGATAATTTCGGATTTAAATTATTATTTTTCATTATATTTTTCATTATGCCGACGTTCCCTAGCAATGAACGGGAAAATGAGTTTAAACATAAATAGCAACACGAAAAATAAGAATACGTACCTAAATATTGCGACATAGAATGTACGAGGAGTATACCAGGAGTATTAATTAACCTAATAAAGGAACTAAAAAATATAAAATACACATCATAGCAATATAAGAAATACATTTGATTGGAAACAACATTGAAAAGATTAGTCCATACACGTTTTATAGAAGTGGAGGCGATAACAGGAATTTTGAAGTGGGTTTTCTGGTACATAAAGACGTGGAGCAGATAAAACGATTCGTACCAAATGTGACAGAATGTGTACAATTAGAATTAAAGGAAAAGACAACATGATATCGCTGCTAAATATACATGCTCCAACAAAAGAAAAAGAAAAAGAACTAAAAGATTAATTTAAAAAAAACTGCGAAAATTTGACGTACTGCAAGATTAACAAAGGGATATACAAGAAAAATACGCCACACAAGATAGTGCTACTGTGAGTAACATACAACAAAAATTCTTAAAAGTAACAAATACTAAAAAGAAGCAACGTCGAAGAACATACCAAGAACAAAAAGATTTAGAAAAAGTTCGATGACGAATGTGAAACAGAGTTAAAAAAGGTCAGATTTGAGATTTAAAAGTTTGCGATTGCAAAAACAAGACTACCTAGAAAGGTATGCTAAACAATGAAAAAAAAGTAGAGAAGATCCTAAGGTCGCGGAAAAAAAGTATATGGATGATAAAGTAAAGTGTATTGAAGAAAATTATAAGAAAAATAAAATAAAAATGTTTACAAAAAGGTAAAATACATTAAAAAAACTGGGTATCAGGGCAGAACGATGACTGTAAAAGATAAGCAAGGAAACCTGATAGTGGACGAAGATAAAATATGTGAAAGGTGGAAAGAATATTTCGAACAGATGCTACATAACGAAGTGACTACTAAAGAAAATTATAATGTTTCTGGACCTCCAAGCTAACAAGAGAAGAGATTGACGAAATAATAAAAGATATATGAAAGATAAAAATAAAAACTCCTAGGAGAGCTGCGTTATGGCAGAGAACTTAAAATATGAAGGAGAGGCTTTAATAATTCAACTTAGTGAGCTAATACTAGAAGTATGGGATGCCGAAGAAATGCCTCAAGAATGAACAAATCCATTATAATGAATATACAGAAAAGGAGATAGAACTGAATGCGCAGACTTTAGAGGAATATCCTTGTTACAGGTAATATATAAAGTGCTCGCCGTATTAACGAAAAAAATGAAGAACTTGGGAGAATACCAGGGGGAATTTTGCAAGGGAAGATCAAAAACCAATCCAATTTGTATGCTAAAACAAATCCTGAATAATTGCTATGAATATAAAATTTGAGCACAAGTACCTTTTATTAATTACAAAGCCGCCTACGATATAATAGCCAAAAACAAATTAACAGAAACGCTAAAATAATTCCAAGTGCCAAAAAAAAATAGTAAGATTAATAAAAATGACAATTTATTAGACAAACCATTTATGCTGCGAAATGCAACGGGACAGTCCAGAAGAATTCGAACTAAAAAAGATGTTCGCCGAGGAGACCCGTTTTCTACCTTGCTATTTAATATAGTTATAGAGAAAAATGTTAGTGTCAGTGGGATAAATAGGTCTAGCACTATTTTATACGGGGCTCCTATAACTTGAAGGTGGAGAATTAATCAGTTGTAGAGTTCGAGAAGGTGAATGAATATAGGTACATAGATACTCTTATAGATTAGACATGTAAGAAAAAAACTAAAATCAACCTGAGATTGAGTAAGAGTAGCAGGTGTGCTGGAGATATTTGCAAAATAATTAAGGTCAAAGATATATCTTGCAATACGAAACTAAGAGTTTACAAAACTATAATTAAACCCAAAATGCTATGCACTGCTGAGACATGGACTATAGAGAAAACCATGCAGAACAGATTGGAACCATGGGAAAGAAAGATGCTGCGCAAAATGTTTGGTGAAAAAGTAGTATAGGGAAAACGAAGAAGACGAAATAATGTAGAACTATAATACTTACTCTTACTCTACAATAACAAAAGTGGTAAAAAAACGTTAGAAAAAACACTTGAATGGCTCGGGAATCTAAAAAAAATGCAAGGTATTAGACTAGGCCAGAATATTGTTTGAGGAGTACCTGAGGAAAAAAAGAGAGGAATACCAAGAAAGAAATATAGAGATGATATAGTGATGGAAGATGTCAAAGAGATGAGAATCAGAGATTGGAAGCTGATAGCTAAGAACAGAAACCGATAAAAATTATTCATCCACCAATGGGCCTGAAAGGCCTGTTAACGCTATACATATATACAAATAATATTAGGTTTATGAAAGTGTAGAAAGAACGAGTCTGTTGCGAGTAGCATGCGCATACAGGACTGTATCTGCGGTAAACTTAAGGACTATCACGGCTTGTGTTCCTTTGCTAGTGCTAGCAGTAGAAAGGAGACAGCTTTGTAAGAAAAGGAAGCATTTGAAAACATGCACAAAAAACAACAAAGGGAAAGATCAAAGATCAATGAAAAGATGGCAAGAAGAGTGAAACAACACAGAAGATGTTGTCCAGTGGACCAAGATGCTGATTCCGAGCCTAAGAGCTGGGTAGAGTGTCTGTTTTAGGGCGTATCTCCATAGGTTTAGAAAGACGAATACAGATAAATGCCTATACTACGAATATTCCGACACTGTTACTTACACAATGCTGGAGTGTAATAGATATACAGTGGAGAGAAAAATAATGTATGGAAAAATAGGTATGAACCCTGTGACTGTGAGAGGAAAACCCGAATTTTAAGAATTCACAAGGAAGATAACATCAAAAACGTTCGGTGCCCAACTAACCCCCCACCAGGAAAATTATATATGCGCCACTGTTTTGAACTTGTCCATGTCGTTCAATTTCCGAAAAAAACTTTTAGGGAAATAACACAAGCTTTAATATTAGCGTTAAAAATTATAAACGTGGTGGTTTCTAGATTTGTTTTTCTTTTTTCCTGCTTCTCCCCTTTGGTTTTGATCATATTAATGTAAATCATTTATCAACCGCTTTCTTATACAGTTCGGCAGGTAACGTTTATTGTTGTCATTGATATGCACTTGTTTTGTAAACTTTTTTAATCATTGATTTCAAATTTTTTGTTGCTTGGATTCACATAAATTTAAAGTTATTCTTGTGCTGATAGTATACATTCATTATTATCTTTAAATTTATGTGATCACAGAAAATTAATCTTTCACCGTTCTTTTTTATCTTTTCTTATTTAAATTTTAGAACTTTACTTTTAAATTTATATTTCGGTTCTAACAATTAAGTCACCGTGTTGGATTACTTCCTTCCTAGCTCCAACATTTTCTACTAAGTATGTCAATTTGTTGTAAAATTTATCCTTTACCTCTTCAGAAGATGTGTACGCACCCTCTGCTATGTCCTTTTATTTTCATAATCTTATCTGCATTTATCTGTGTTGTGTGCCATGAAGTAGATACAGATATACGGGACTTACAAAGTAGTACTCTAATCCAAGAGCCTTACCTTAAAGGCGCTCTATTAGACAGGTTACAGACGAGTGGTTTCTCAGAGCTTTTTCCTGTCTGCAGTCTAATAGCATAGAATAATTAATGCCAGATTTCCATATATAAACTTGAGATCGTGATTTTATACATATGAATAAAAGTGGAATAGTAGTGATATTATGTGTTAACTGAATCAATACATCTATAGAAAAAGTACTACTAGCCAAAGTGTATATATATATATATATATATATATAATATATATATATATATATATATATATATAATATATATTCAAATTGACTAAAATTTTTCAAATCTAATGAATTGTTTTCATGTTTGAATTTATATTTTAGATCGCCGAGTACAATTTACCGATGTCATCAAACCAGTATGTCTATGGAAAGGCGATACCGATCTCTATCCGCTGACCCATAAAATGGGAGTAATAGCAGGTTTCGGTCAAAACGAGAACTCTCCCCAAGAAGGTTTGACGCATTTTATAAGAGCTAAACAAGTGAACATGCCTATTGTAGCTCAAACCGAATGCTTCACAAGTCCCCTGGGACTTCAGGACCTTATTTCTGACAAAACTTTTTGCACAAGTAAGGTATAGTTAATTTCGTTAACATATATGTCAACAACTTTTGAAAATTAATATTAACCTATTAGTCTATTATAACCTATTAACCTTAAAGTCGTCCGGGTTTAATGCGTCGATTATTATTGCGTCGAGCTTTTGACATCCTCTTTGATGTCTTCTTCAGGGCTTTCGAGGTCTCAGTCTTCCGAGACCCCCAAAACTACTACACTGATCACTAACCAATGCATTACTGATACTGAGAACAGAGGATGGTTCATTTATACCGTCGATGATGAAGTTATCGTCAACATATATGGTCGTTAACATGTGGGTTTGAGCATTGATATGAATAATACTTGGGTCTCGAAGTCTTCCGCAAAGATATTAGCAATTACTGGAGATAGTGGGGAGTTCATTGGCGTACCATTTATTTGTCTGTAGAATTGATTTTGGAAGATAAAATAAGTGTTGGACACACAATGTTTAATAAGAGATAAGTAATCTTTCTGGATAATGTATGTTTTTTCAGAACGTTTATAGAGTTTCGTATATAGGAATGTTTGTAAAGAGTGAAACAATATTGAAACTTACTAGAGTGTGAGATAGGGTATTGTTTAGGAAGTTCGAGGAAATGAAAAGAATTTTTGACGAAGGATGAAGCATTTTCGACGAGAGGTTAAAAAGTTTTTTGGGTAGGCCATATATTTGAGGTATTCTGGAAGACTTTTAACGAGGAATTAGAGATTGCTTTATGTCAACAGGAATATAGGTTTTATTGATAATGGTTTTTGTTATTTTCTTTAGATTGTTGGATTATTGGGAATTGGTCTGTAATGTAAAGTATTAATAGAATTTGAGAGTTTATTAATGTAAGAAAGCAGTTAGTCTTGCATTATTAAAATCATGAATGTGTTGCTTGTGTGAGTCCATTTCAAATAGGTAAAAGAAATAATAAATAAAACGTACTCACAATCAGTTTAATTTAATTATGACCGGTTTCCCTTTCTACAATATGCAAAGCATCTTCAGGTCTGTCGATACAAAGTTAATTTAATGCTGAAATAATAAAACCTATATTAGGGTGATGTCTTATAAAGATAAATAAAGGATAAATTATATAAATTACAATAATTAGGCCAATATTACATGTCTGTGGTTTTTTTAAAATGAATAAACTGTTTAAGCAAATAAAGTAAGATTCACAAATTGGTATAAAAATAATCGATTGAAATGTAATAAATTAGTAAATAAACAAAGCATTACTTACATGCCTGTACACTATTAATTAATGGTTGCAAAAACATAGTTCAAACTATCCTGTATTACTAAATGGAGATCCTCAGTTTTTACTATTGTAATTGACAATCAACAGGGAAGTTTCTTGAGGAGAGATTCAATGAAGTAGAAAATAGGTATAATCTGATTGTTTGTTAAATAAAAGTGATGTCCTGTATTATTTAATTCTTTAAAAGTTATTTATATTTATTCAAGAGATATATTTACGAAATTTTTGTGTTATTTATTGAAATTTTTATTAAGGTGACAGTTGTATGACAATCAATGAAATTAGATGTATAATTGTGCAGGTGTTCAAATTCCTTTAACTTGTAATTATTAAATTTCTTTGATAAAACTTCAATTAGCTTACTATTATTTGGCAAATGGTTGTAAAGTTAAGTATGTTAAAATTATTAACTAAAACAATTAAGGACACGTAGGGGCAAACAGAACACACCTAAAAAGGAACAAAACATACATTAAATATTAAAAAGGGGGGACTTAATAGCACTACATCTCTGAATTAGAGCATTTAGAGAAAATTAGTTTTTTGTTGTCTATTAGATTTTAGACGTAAATTTGACAAGCTAATGTAGGTAAAGTGTGACAGTTCTTCGTCTCTTTCTCAGTACTGTAAGTAAAGTTAACCAGTTTTTTGAAGTAAACAGATATTAATGAACATCTCTAAAATTTTAAATATAAAAAGTAAGTTAATATGTTTAATATTGGCATACTTTTAGCAATCATTAAATAATTAAATTTAAATATGACAATCTGAATAATTGTCATATTTAAAATCTAATAATAAAGTAACAAAATTTATTTGAAAAATTTTTTGAAAAAATATTGTTGGTGTGAATGAGCCATCTGTCATGGTATGAGTAAATATTTTATTTCAGTTTTAATATGTTAGTATGGAAACTAGAGCAATAAGTAGATAAATTGTTGATGGTAAATTAATTGAATATAAATTATTATATCTGAAAGCAGTAAACAACTTCAAACATGTCATAAAATCTATAAATAAAAAAATAACAGAGAATAATTTAACGATAACTAAAGCAGACAAAGGAAACACAATGGTTGTCTTGAAAACCTCTGATTATACTAAAAAAGTATTAAAATTCATTGATGACAATAAATTCTTAACTAAAGCAGTCAATATTAAATCTTTTGCAAATAAAGTTAAAACTTTAATTAATGATAGTAATGAAGTACTTGATACTACCACAAAAAAGAAACTTCTACCGAACAAATCCCTAGATTCGAATTCCTTGAATATGGACTTTTGAAAATACATAAAACAAATATTTTTGAAGACATTCCAATCAGACCAGTTGTATCCTTTTCAGACTCTCCAACCTTTGCCTTAGCAACATACTTAAACCAATTCCTTAAAATATTATATAATAATAAATTTGAATATATATAGTAAATAATAATCTAAGTTTAGCTAACAACATAACTTCATTAAAGTTTTCCTAAGGTGAAATATTGATATCCTTAGATATCACTTATTTATTCACGAATATTCCAACACACGTAGTTATAAGTATAATTACTATGGACTTATGGAATAACAATTATTCCCTAAACCAAACCATTGAATATGTGGAGCTTTTGAATATTTGCCTGAGCCAGAATTTCTTTAATTTCAACAATGAGACATTTGTTCAACCAGATGGACTTGCAATGGTTTCCCCCTATCCCCAATTATTGCAGATATCTTTTTGAATGATCTTGAATCTAATAAAACAATGTAAAACAATCCCTTTACTAATTATATTAAGTTCTACTCGAGATATGTAGATGATACATTTATAGTATGGGGTGGTACTCTTGATAATCCACATTCCTTTTTAGATTACCTTAATAAATTACACCACACCATAAAATTTACTTTGGAGATTTAAAATATAGATACATACAGGTACAATTATATATACATTTCTGTTCATACTGATACAGTTATACCAGCTGATTCTCATCATCCCGTTCAACATAAAACAGCAGCATTCTCTAGTTATATTAATCGGTTAATATCTTTACCATTAACTTTGACATCATTAAATAAAGAATTAAAAATAATTCAACAAATAGCTATAAACCATGGTTATTCCATTACTCTAATCAATAAAATTTTACACAAAAAAACCAATAGAATGTTAGAATACCAAGTATATACACAATATTCTAATAAAATAGTTGAACAAAAACCTTACCGATCCTTAACATACATAGGTGAACTTTTTTATAAGATTGTAAAAGTCTTTGATGACTACATAATTATCTCTTTTAAGACTGCCTCTAATTTAGGATTGACTTTCTTAAATAACAAGGATAAACGTACCTCATCTGAGTATAGCGGAGTGTATAAGTTATGCTGCCATACTTGTAATAAAGGCTCCTTATTAAATAACCTGGAACATTTAGAAATATTAAAATCCTTAAAAATTACACATCAGATACATTAAATGCACAATTAGAACTAGACTACACACCAGTATACTCAGTATTAGTGTAAAACTTGATTATAAATAGTAATAGTAGTAATCCTTTCCCAATATCTATATCTCTCTCTCTCTCTCTCTCTCTCTCCTCTCTCTCCTCTCTCTCTCTCTCTCTCTCTCTCTCTCTCTCTATTATATATTATATATATATATATATATATATATATATATATATATATATATATATATTGAAATGATTTCAATATGTTAAAAAGGATACAATTTAAATGGATTTTTATATGAGTTTGTTGTTCATTAATTTCATGAAGCCATCACAATGTGGGGTCGACTCTGAAATAAAAGAGAGAAAAAGATTAGTAAATTGTTAAATAAATTAATTTTGACTTACCTGGTATAGTGTTAATAATTTCTGAATAGTATAGTTGCCTAGTGTATAGGTGAATCGTCTAAACCTTAAAAAAAAAGAAGAATTCTTAAAAAATATTTAAACATAGAAGTTTTAAAAAAATAAATGAAGGAAATTTATTTAAAGTGTCAAGCAAGTCTGTGGGAGCTAAATTAATAGGGGTTTTGTTAAATAAGAAATTACAATGATGTGGAGATGAAAAGAATAAATTGTATTAATAGAATAAGTTTTATATCTGAACATTTTTTTTATATTCCCAAATTAGATGTGAATAAAGTGATTATGAGAAATTAATGTGGCGTGACAAATGTGTCAGAACAGGACAGTTTTATGGTTTAAATAAATTTTTAATAGAAGACGAAAAAAAGAAAAAACGAACGTTGGTTGCGGTTAGCAACGGAAAAAAAATTTTTAGAGATGCCGACGCTAATTTTAGACCTCTTGCCCCGAAACTGTGGAATAGGCCGGGAGTATTTTCAACTTGTCTGATTAAAATTTAGTTTTTCTACAGTTTCCAGTGTTTTGGAAGGGCAGAGATATCCAGAATTTTTTCCAGAGAGTAAGAGAAACAATTTGAGTTATAAATTATTATTGGAGTACAGAAATTTCATTGAGATTGAGAAAATTAAAATTCATGAATTAACAGAATTGCGATAGGCCTTATAATTTGAAAAATATTAATGATCATTAAATTAAAACTAGAGTAGTACGTACCTTAAATTCCGAAGAGAGGATTGATATTCCAGTTTCACCGATTATTTTGCGAGAAGTTAGTTTTCTTTAAAGAAATCAGAACTGTTTTAAAGTGAGGTTGGATAATAATTTAGGGGATTATTTGTAATTTTAATTATATTTGAATGCAAGTTG